AAGAAATGACCCTCGGTCACTGATGAGTTGACGGGAGAATTTACGTACGGAATAAAATTGCGCCCAATACAGTTACACGCTCATAATTAAAGTTTGACATCCAACAACCATTATGAACGCCTGTCAGATTACAATTTGCATATTTGGCGACGCAATCTTTTGGAAGGTGACCTATTTTTGCATCGACTGTGCATTTGTTTGTATTTAAAGATTAATGGAAAAAGATTCCAAAATAAGCCCATCCGACAAGCAATACTCGTTAATCCGGTATTTCGTTCCGTTTCAACAAACGGTTAGTTGCAAACAAAAAATTGAAATACTCGATTTTTCTTACATTCTTTTGCGAATGTCAGTTTAGAGGCGAACGAGCATCTGAGTTTAATTAAAAAAATTCTAAACGATATTGCTTCGTATTTCCTCCGTTTCTGACAGACCACTTTATTTTATCACGTTTATTTCACATCCACCATTCGAACCCAATTTTATTTTGCCTCTAGACCCAACTTGAGAACTTTTACTTAAAACGAAAGAAATAGATTGAATGCGAAAACAACTTTTACACACACATACATACATACGCGTAGTATATATAAAACAAAAACAGATGCACGTGATCGCCACTACGATAAGATCGTCAGTCGACACGCACCTCCATTCTTTCCTATTCTGAGCTAATCTTCGCATTTTCCTAAAACTAGAAGAACCCACATTCTTAACTATTGGCGTACAGTAATCTAATCTAGGTCTACCACAACCCCTCCTAACTCCCGTTTCTGCCTCTAATATATCTCTGACTAGACCTTCACACCTAAGCAGGTGTCCTACCAACCTATCTCGCTTATTTCTTATCGACTTCCGTAGAGTCCTCTGTTCTCCTATTCTTTCTAATACCTCTTCATTTCTAACCTTCTCTATCCATGGTATCCTCATCATTCGCCTGTAACACCACATTTCGAACGCTTAGAACCTTTTCTTTTCTGCCACGCCTACCGTCCATATTTCGCACCCATACAGCATATGTATTATACATACCTACGCGTATTGCATATTATGGATATGCCATGATTTAGGACCAGGGATGGTAATGCACTCTGCAATTGTGGTAGGTACACCTCAACATAATGGTGTACTCAACAAAGGTGTAGTCAGGCACCAACACAGAATTTATAGTTTATAGGACGTATGAAAACTAAAGGTGTAGTTACAACGAAACGTTGGTAGATTCATATACAAGTTTTATATTCTGTGGTGGTGCCTGATTACACCTATGAGTACACCAACTTTCCGCATATATACACTATGACGTTGAGATGTACTACTCTTTCGAAGAGACATTACCACCCTTAGTCCGCAATCATGACATATAATACACAATACACGAAGGTATAAACGTCAATATGTGCATATATGTATACTTGAACGTATTCAATACTTATAATTGTTGTAATTGTTTCCTGGAAGTCCTTATGGATGAATAGAACTTCAACGGACGATATCCCAAAAAGATAAATTTTTATGATTAACCTCCATTGAGATCTTTGATCTACAAGTGGAGAACTACCAGAATCCAATGTTTCAATGAGTTTGACAGAGGGCAATTTTCCATAAGGGCCTAGCGAAGTCTAGGTTGAGACTCCCATCCTCCTAAGAAAGATTTTTCACGATCTCTCCCCCAAAAACTTTCTGCATTTGTTTTTATCATCCGTAAAATCGAATTAATTTTTTTAAAGTATACATACTCTTATTTAAGTAAAATAAATATATATTTAAAGCTTTTGGGGTGAGGGGTATTACACTTTGTTTAGAAGATTTCGAGAGTTTTTATTAAAACAAGAAGTAATTTTTTCTACAAGTTTTTTCTTATCTTAATACTCAACTTATGCTAGCCTAACAAATATTCATTCACAAAAATTAACTTTACATTTTTTAACCCGAAATTACATACTGTTTATATGCCCTATTTTATATTTCTTTTATATTTTGTTTTCTTTTTTGTACTATTACTTTCAAAAGGCTCAAGCTATTCTTGTTTTTCGTCAATCATCTCTCTCTAATATATTTTCTCTCTATCTACCTGCTAGATATGCCGGTTCTTGTTTCCTACGAAATATCCGCGTCTCTTCTTTTTTACCATTTCTTCTTTTTCCTTATCTCATATCCATACTACCTCATCTGTTATTATCTTCTTGTATCCAACTTCAACCGTATTATTCACTTTTTTTTCTCATCTTTTACCATTGGTTCCAATCTCTTCTGTATTTTTCTCTTCCACAGTTATACCATCTTTCATCTTATCCTCTCACTCTTCGACTGGTTTAACCATCTGTAGTTTTTTCTCCACTTCTCCATTTTTGCCCCGTATATGTACTTTCTTTTAAATTTTCCATATTTCCTTCACTTCTACCTTCAGTCTCACCTTCCCTTTTAAATCTTTCTAACTCCCTCTTCTTTTTATTCTCTTTCATTTCCATTCTAAAAAACATCACGTTTTCTTTTTTTTTTTCTTCACTTATTTTCTTTTCCAGTTCCATTTCTAATCTCCTTATTCTTTTCTTTTGCTCCTCTGCTTGTTTCTCCACGTGTTTTTCTATCCACTTTAAACTATTTCTTATATCTTTCTTCATTGTATTCCAATGTTTTTTTCAATTCAAAATTCAAACATCAAAATAAAAGTCAAAGACAGCTAAAATTAAATGATTTTAAGAAGAACTTGTAAGGAAAAAACTCCTTACGTAAGACGGATTACAAACCCCTTCCCCTTCGTAAGAAATCTTAATAAAATGATAAACCTCTTTCCCCTAAAGGTCATACGTAATTTATGGATGACTTTTAAATAATTCCACTGTTTGTTGTATGTATTGAAGTTAGTGAAGCAACCAAACCGAACCCATTGTTAAATTAATTAATCAAAAATAAGGATTTCTATTGATTTCTATTGATTGACTGTAAAGAAACACTTCGAGAGGATTGTCATTTCCTGCCGTCACATGATAAAAGCATTATTAGGTAATTTAAGTTAGGTTGGGTTAAGTAAGGCTAGGTTACAGTCACAGTTTGCTCTTTTACATCATTCGATTTATAACCTGTAAAGTTTTCGCGTTATGAAACATAATTGGCGTAGAAATCTAAATAAAACAGTTAGAAGACATCACATGCCGAAGCTATTACAGAGTTTCATAATAAACTTTTTTTTTAATTATAAAAAAGCAACTCTTTTATTCTGGTTAATCTTTTGATGTTCTGGTGGTGGTCCTGCCTCAATTTTACTAAGCTACCACTACCTCTCAAAATGCCTCGCAGTAGGACTTTTAGATGGTAGGGATGTTGTTGAGCATTCATGACTTTTTATTTTGATAAATATAAATTCAGAAGAATATGACCTACATAAAGACGGAGTAGATGAGTGATAAATAGTTGGTATAAATAGTAGCAGGCAATTATAAAATTTGATCAGCAACGGAAGGGAATCAGACAGGCATTTACGGGGCAAAAGATTAGTATGCGTTGATTTGCAGATAATATTGGCAGTGTTAGGATCTGACAAGGAGGAGTTAGAGATAGCCTTAAATAAAATAGAAGTGGTACTGACAAAACAGTATGGAATGAAAAATAAAAGTAATATGAAATATTATTCTGAAAATTCATTTCTTGAATTTTTTTTTGCCCACTACACACTTCCTCAAATTAATGAGGAAAAATTTGTTGCTGTTGTCACACCCCCGCCGGGAATCGAACCCGGGCTCTTTGGCTTTACGCGCCAATGCTTTGACCACTAAGCTACGAGAGATGACAACAGCAACAACGACAAACCGTACTTATTAGGTCACAAATCCGTCGAACTAATATATACTATGATTAAACATACATACAATTTTTTTAGACATCTTTTAGAAGTGAGTTAGTTTAATATGAAATATTATTCTGAAAATTCATTTCTTGAATTCTTTTTTTTTTGNAAAAAATTGTATGTATGTTTAATCATAGTATATATTAGTTCGACGGATTTGTGACCTAATAAGTACGGTTTGTCGTTGTTGCTGTTGTCATCTCTCGTAGCTTAGTGGTCAAAGCATTGGCGCGTAAAGCCAAAGAGCCCGGGTTCGATTCCCGGCGGGGGTGTGACAACAGCAACAAATTTTTCCTCATTAATTTGAGGAAGTGTGTAGTGGGCAAAAAAGAATTCAAGAAATGAATTTTCAGAATAATATTTCATATTAAACTAACTCACTTCTAAAAGATGTCTAAAAAATTGTATGCATGTTTAAAAATAAAAGTAATACAAAAGGGAAGAAAAAGTAGAGAAAGAGTGGTGGATTAATGACAACAGACGAAACATTAGAAGAAATCGGTAATTTTTGTTATCTAGGAGTTCAGATAATACAGGTTGAATGGAGCAGTGGAGATATAAAACAAGGAATATCGCAGCGGCAAATCGTCTTTAACAAAAAAAATCACTTCTATGTTAGCTAACGGTTAATTTAGAAATTGAAAAAGATTGTTAAAGGTGTATGTCTGGAACACGGTTGCATATGAGTGCAAAACGTGGACGATAGACATGGCTGAAAAGAAAAGGTTAGAAGCATTCAAAAAGTGTGAGAAGTTTTAGGGAAATGCGAAGATTAGGATAGGAAAGAGTAGAGGTGCGTGATGAACCAGTCTTAGAACTGACAATCCTATGAAGAAGATGAAAGATAAATTCCCGACGTTTGAATGAATTTTACTTTTCCAACCGAATTTAAAGTTTAAGGACACTCTGGAATTTTCAGAACACACAGTCACTTTACACAAACATTAGTTGCAAACGTAGAGGCAACCTACAAGTTTCGTTCATAAAATTGAATTCAACTCATTAGTATGCTAAATTTCAGTTTTTTTCTTGTAATAACATAATGATAACATCGCGTGCAGCGGTTTTTGCTACTTAGCATATAGTATATAGAAAAAATAAATTGATACATTTATACTTGCATTGTATTTAAAATGAAGATTTTTTTTTACAGGATCAAATGTCCCAGTCCCAAGAAAATCGTATAACGCTGCTTCTCATTGGTGTTGTAGTTCTTTTTTTGGTATGTCAAACTCCAACCGCATCATTTCTTATCTACGATGCTTTTGATGAGACCAAAGATACATACTCAAGAAATATTAAAAAAGGTATTTCAATATATATGTATATATATATGTTATAAATGTATAATCTTTACGAGTAGATATCAACGAAAAATGTTGCGCATTAAATTGGTCTTTTCTTAAGAAAAACAGGTAAATGCTAATTGAAACTCGTAAATAAACTTTTTACTTTTGCTTAATGTATCCATCTTCATAGGTACGCGTATTTTCTAAATCGTAAATCTCGTCTATGCACCAATTCCGAGAAAATTCTGCTTTACGATGGATCGTAAAAACTAGAAGATCCTGATAATCTCAGCAAATGTAGACTGATAGAAATAAGTTCGAAAAGAGATATACAATTTCCACCGCTGTTCAATTTTCCTAAAACGAAACATTGGACGGAAAGCGTATTACAGTCGAAACCACTGTTATTGTGCGGCTCGTACTTTATAACAATGACAAACTTTGGAGTTTGTTTTTTTCTTCATTGCAACTAATCGTACTCCCAAATAAAATCCGGAAACAAACGTATACCCTTTTTACATGTGACAAAAGAATGGGCTTCAGCAGTTCTAAAAAGTTTTGATTAATTGGTGTTACTTTTGTTACATCAACAAATTAAAATGACAAATTAATTTAACAGTATGAGTATGACGAAAATCAATTTTCTATTTTTTGCACCCGAAGCAAAAATAATGGTATTATATATATACCTACAGGGGTCGGTACATAACTTTGTCTAGAAAAGGTTGTGCCTATGACCATCATAACACTATGAAAAATAAAACTATTTTTCATTCGTCAAGGTAGGTCATTCTTGTAATAATACAACTCCGTTGAATTATCTGTGCGTTTTGATTTCATTATTATAGTCGGTGACCTCACCATAAGATAAAAATTGTTTATTTATGTAATAGCAAAGGAGATCAGCTACTAACAGTCGATTTAGGCGCATTCATAGTTTTAACAGAAATACAGTCCATTTCAATTTGTTAGAATTGTGACCTTGAAGAAATGTGCGCGAAGATAGAAAGAATACACACTAGTCTGTGTTTTGTCGAAGCTGTTTGCGATACGCTGATGAGATCCAACAAGATCGAAATCGCGATCCGCATCTGGCAGTGTCGACAGAATGCTGACCACTTCGATTTTTTTTATTCGATTATGATAACGCGCCTTTCACGTAGTGGTGAGCTACGCCTGGATACATAATGATCCGTAAAATGTAGCATTGTACTACAGATGGCGTTTACCGCGCCATTTGTAGGATTTTATAAAACGCGCTGTTAAGACAGCAAGTAAAAGTTGGTCTGTGTTCTATCGAAGCTGTTTGCGACGCGCTGATGAGATCCAACAAGATCGAAATCGAGATCGGCATCTGGCAGTTTCGACAGAATACTGACCACTTCGAATTTCTTTATTCGATTATGGTAACGCGCCTTTCACGTAGCCGTGAGCTACGCCTGGATACAGTGATCCGTAAAAAGAAGCATTGTATTACAGATGGCGTTTACCGCGCCATTTGTAGGATTTCTTAAAGCGCGGTGTTAAGACAGCAAGTAAAAGTAGGTCTGTGTTCTGTCGAAGCTGTTTGCGACGCGCTGATGAGATCCAACAAAACTGAAGTCGCGATCCGCATCTGACAGTTTTGATAGATAATACTGACCACTTCGAATTTCTTTATTCGACTATTTAATTGCGTACGTACTTTTCTATTATCCCTTTTAACAATTCAACTCTATATACTAACTTCATGACGTCTATAATCGTTACTTTTCCTAATTGCAATTTTATGATGGGTTTCTTCGGTAATTGAACTTAAATTCTCAGTATTCCTTCTAAACGACATTTCCGGGCTCCTCCTTATCACCCTTTTTACAATCTATTTTCAAAAACTAAAGTTAGTTCTGATCAAGTCTTCGTTTCGTCGAAATCAAAAATTGTAACCTTACGCTCCAATTTCACATTTTATTTCTAGTCTTTATCTCTTTTGTTTGTATATAAAAAAGTTTACCGTTTTCGCGTTATTTTTATTTCTTCGTCCTATCACCTGAACAAATCGAGTCCAAAACAGTACCGTTGTCGATAGTGGACAGCAAATACATTTTAATTATAGTAATTCACCATACCATACCCTAACCCAAGCTCTTGGTACACTTTTCATATGTCAATCACGAAATCCTCACCACCACAACCTAAACCCTACATAGTATGGAGTTTAAAAGAAGAGTTCAAAACTTCAGCCAAAATATTGCTGAAAATGAGATGTCTAGTGCTTCTACTAAATTTCTCTTCTCAGCTAATCGAAGATCCTTCATAATCATTCTGTATTTTTGCTGTTTTCTGGTGTCGATGCATTTTTTGGCGTCCTTCACATGGATCGTCTTCAAAACTTATTTGACATTTAAATGCAGCAACCCATCTTTCTACTGTTCGAAGTAAAGGTAAAGAGTCCTTATACACTTTTAACAATCGCTCGTGAATTTATTTTGGCGCTACACCTTCCAAAAATAAAAATTTTATTACTGCACGATATTCATGTTTCTCCATTGTACGAAAATAATGTGACACATAAAATTTAAACCACTACAAATATACGAATGAGTTGACAGATCTACATGAAACACACGTATTCATAAAAATATAGTACCTACCTGCTACTTTTAGAAAAATAAAATGACGAATCTAGCGTTGTCTCGTATTGAACGACAAAATTTATTGAGCAATGTGGTAATTGTAGGATTTGGAACATGTGTTCATATGAGCAGTCAAATATTAATTAGTTAAGTTAAAATACTAATTTTGAATTAAAATTGTTAAAAAGTTTTGGTTTTAGTCATAAAATTTCAAACATTAAAAAAAGATGCTGATAAACACAGGGACAATATTTTTAAGGCCGCTAAAGTGATTCTAAAATTTTGTGGACTAATTAAAAGGTACACTATTGATGAGTAATGTAAGCTAATATTATTTTGAAAAAAATAAGTTTTCAGTTCGAAATCATAATATTTGTAAAGCGCTGCTAGTAAAACATATTTATAAAATTTGAAATATATATAAATTTTTTATGTATATACCTACAAGTATGTCACGAAAATCAAATTTAAAATAATTCGAAGTGGTCTGTATTCTGTCGAAACTGCCAGACCCGGATCGCGATTTCGATCTTTTTGGATCTCATCAGCGCGTCGCAGGCAGCCTGACAGAACACAGACCAACTTTTACCTGTTGTCTTAACAGTGCGTTTTTGACAATATCACAAATGGCGCAGTAAACGCCATCTGTAGCACGATGTTACATTTTAGGATTACGTATGCTCCAACAAGGTCCACTTGTGTGGATATCTACTTGCTGAAACGAATCCCGGCGTAGCCAAGCTCAACGTGATAGGCACGCTACCATAATCTAATAAAATAATTCGAAGTGGTCTGTATTCTGTCGAAACTGCCAGACGCGGATCGCGATTTCGATCTTTTTGGATCTCATCAGTGCGTCGCAGGCAGCCCGACAGAACACAGACCAACTTTTACCTGCCGTCTTAACAGTGCGTTTTAGAAACTACTACAAATAGCGCGGTAAACGTCATCTGTAGTACTATGCTACATCTTAGGATTACGTATGCTCCAACAAGGTCCATTTAAATATATGGATATCTACTTGCTGAAACGAATCCCGGCGTAGCTAACCTCAACGTGATAGGCACGTTACCATAATCCAATAAAATAATTCGAAGTGGTCTGTATTCTGTCGAAACTGCCAGACGCGGATCGCGATTTAGATCTTTTGGATCTCATCAGCGCGTCGCAGGCAGCTCTGACAGAACACAGACCAACTTTTACCTGCTGTCTTAACAGTGCGTTTTAGAAAATACTACAAATGGCGCGGTAAACGCCATCTGTAGCACGATGCTACATTTTAGGGTTACGTATGGCGTTCACTGCGCCATTTCTAGTATTTTCACGGAAATTTGTTTAATAGTAACAATAAGTTAATATATACAATAATTATTAAATCACACAGTATTTTAATTACATTAATACAATTATTCCAAAGTATAGGTGATATGTCATAAACTTTTTTAAGCACAATTATTAACGGTGGTTGCATATAGATAGCAAAAATCGCCGATCGTATGTAATCACAATTATTTATTCTTAATTAATAATAAGTTGCTGGGACTAGTTTTTCGAGAGTTGAAAATATTCGCAAACTTTATTACTTTCGTGAGCCGTAGTAAAGTGAATGAAGGTAAAAATTAACTATTACCTTCGATTTCGGTGAACCTCCATCGATTTACATGAAAATTTGGAATTGAGTATATTTTACCCTCAACTTCAAAAGTGACATATGCTCGACTTGCGCTTTTTGCATTTTAGGGGTGAAATCCGTCCCTTTTGTTAAAAATGGGGGAAAATGCAGATTTAAGCATTCTGGAGTAAGTAATCTCGTTGAATTAGATAAAATAAATATTTTTCAACACTTATATGCATGATTTATGATTTTAATTAATTTTTCAACCCTTTTAGCAACCACCCCTTAAATCGAAAATCATGAAAAAATAATTTTTTCATCATGTATGTTTTGTGAGCATGTACCTATCGACCTGTTCCCCAAAATGTTTTCAAAAAAAATGTTATTGTTTTTTTTATAATAACTCAATTAATTTTTATGATATTAGGTTCATCTAAAAATCATTTCAAAGGTAATTTCAAGAGCTATATGTCCGTATTAAATTTAATCGTTTAAAACCCTTATTTTTTAAAAGATAAAAGGTTAAAAGGCCCCGGTTACATGATTCTCGCAGTAAAATGTAGGCTTTAAACGTTTCTATATCGGTTATTTTTTATCCTACAAAAAAAAAAAACTAAAATCTTTCTTAAAAAACAAATTCAAATTTCGTTCTCTATTATTTTTTACGTATCTATATCGAGTATTTTTGGAGTTATTATCAAAAGAAAATGAAATTTACGAAAATTTGAAAAATTCTGATTTTTATAAATCATATTGTTTTTTCAAAAATATGCATTCTAAACCGGTCAAAA